CCCCCTCTACCCCCTCACCCAGACCAACAATCATTGCCCCCCCCCCTCTACCCCCTCACCCAGACCAACAATCATTGCCCCCCCCCCTGTACTCCCTCACCCAGACCAACAATCCCTGATACCTGGGTTACCCCTCGACCAGGCCAATAATGAGTGGGGACTGCTCACCACCAGCGTGGGGCAGACTATATTCCTTTATGTGGGGTAGATAACGTAACCCTGATTAAGGGTAGATAATATGAAGAAAAGTTATCTGCAGTTTCTCTTTGGGTGAAAGAAGGCAAAATTTCATTATTCTATCTCAACAATAAGAAACAATGTTTCAAAGTAGGTCAAATAATGAGTGAGTGCCAACTCCTACTTGTGGAATTACTAGAACAATAGTCACAGCCTTGCTGGCCAGATCCATTTATTAAACTACGGCAGACGATCTCCCAAGGACGGTGAAATACTACTATGACTATGGCTCGGGAAATGCCATTTGGCATTGGACATGTTATGTCTGAGTTATTTTCTGACTGATAATATTCTAGTTGTAAATATCCCATTTATTTTAGAGAACCCCAGTGTTATAAAGCCCCTGCACTGCTTTAATGCCATGGTGAGCAATCGAGAGCAAGTTCAAGGTTGGAGGGAGAAAACCAGGCGGCTTAGATACATTCATATACTGCCTGTAAAATACATGGAAATTACAGCATTTCTATAAAAACACAGCAACGATGTGAAAATAGGAGGCAGGTTATTATTCAGGATATGTAAAGGGAGGCTGGTTAATATTCAGGATATGTAGAGGGAGGCGGGTTAATATTCAGGATATGTAGAGGGAGGCGGGCTAATATTCAGGATATGTAAAGGGAGGCGGGCTAATATTCAGGATATGTAGAGGGAGGCGGGCTAATATTCAGGATATGTAAAGGGAGGCGGGCTAATATTCAGGATATGTAAAGGGAGGCGGGCTAATATTCAGCATATGTAGAGGGAGGCGGGCTAATATTCAGCATATGTAGAGGGAGGCGGGCTAATATTCAGGATATGTAGAGGGAGGCGGGTTAATATTCAGGATATGTAGAGGGAGGCGGGCTAATATTCAGGATATGTAGAGGGAGGCGGGCTAATATTCAGGATATGTAGAGGGAGGCGGGCTAATATTCAGGCTATGTAGAGGGAGGCGGGCTAATATTCAGGCTATGTAGAGGGAGGCGGGCTAATATTCAGGCTATGTAGAGGGAGGCTGGTTAATATTCAGGATATGTAGAGGGAGGCGGGCTAATATTCAGGATATGTAGAGGGAGGCGGGTTAATATTCAGGATATGTAGAGGGAGGCGGGCTAATATTCAGGATATGTAGAGGGAGGCGGGCTAATATTCAGGATATGTAGAGGGAGGCGGGCTAATATTCAGGATATGTAGAGGGAGGCGGGCTAATATTCAGGATATGTAAGGGAGGCGGGCTAATATTCAGCATATGTAGAGGGAGGCGGGCTAATATTCAGCATATGTAGAGGGAGGCGGGCTAATATTCAGGATATGTAGAGGGAGGCGGGCTAATATTCAGGATATGTAGAGGGAGGCGGGCTAATATTCAGGATATGTAGAGGGAGGCGGGTTAATATTCAGGATATGTAGAGGGAGGCGGGCTAATATTCAGGATATGTAGAGGGAGGCGGGCTAATATTCAGGATATGTAGAGGGAGGCGGGCTAATATTCAGGATATGTAGAGGGAGGCGGGCTAATATTCAGCATATGTAGAGGGAGGCGGGCTAATATTCAGGATATGTAGAGGGAGGCGGGCTAATATTCAGGATATGTAGAGGGAGGCGGGCTAATATTCAGGATATGTAGAGGGAGGCGGGCTAATATTCAGGATATGTAGAGGGAGGCGGGCTAATATTCAGGATATGTAGAGGGAGGCGGGCTAATATTCAGGATATGTAGAGGTTGGCGGGCTAATATTCAGGATATGTTGGGTTTAGAAGGCACAGTGCCATTTTGTCCTTTGTTGGGTCTTGTAGGATTCACAATGCATAGTAATATATGTGGGAGGTTGTTTGGTGTAGAAGGCATGGTCACATTTAGGATATGGGGGACTGCAGGATTTAGAAGGTTATATTGTTATATTCAGTACAAAATTGAGCCATTTAGCTACTTCTTTTACAGTCAGGCTCTATTTGTTACAGAGTATCTCAGCAATAATGTACTTTGCTGGATCGTAAAGGTTCACCCCAATCTGATCTGTGGTAGCCCTGTCAGCATTTTTCAGTCTGAAGTGAGTTAGCATTTCCTTTCTGAAAGAGGAATAACATTTGCTCTGTAAGGCAAGAATAAAGAGCAGCTTGTGTTTTCAAAAAAAAATACTGAAGGTTTGTAGACTGTATGACTGTATTTCAGCCTTTGGTCCCTCTGGAGTGTGACCTCACGAGACGTTTAGTGTGGTGTTATGGGGCCCCACCTTGCCCCTCATTGGGAGTAGTTTTACAAGGTCATGTTGTCATTGGACTCTTTTGACTGTGTGGTCACCGTAATGTCTGTTGATTTATAAGTGTTCATATTGTGAGTATATGTGCTGACGGTCACGTGTTACGGCTGGTTTGTTTTGTTTCTAGGAGGTAGCTGTGGACCCTCTGCTGAAGCAAAATGTCCCTTGACAATGTTGCTATCAATGCAGACTATTCGTGGGATGCCGGAGAACGCGCTCGCCTGCTGCAGAGCCCCAGCGTGGTGACTGTCCAAGAGCCAAGGCGCTTTGCCAGTGGAACAACTCCTGCGGGCGCAGTCTTTATAGTGGTGAATGCTGCGCTTGGTGCTGGGCTGTTAAACTTTCCTGCTGCATTCAGTGCAGCTGGAGGCATCACTGCTGGAATATCCCTGCAACTGGTGAGTTCGTATGATACACTGTGATCTGCTGCTACCTATCTCTTGTTGCAAAGCTTTACGTGAGAATCAGAGAAAACAATGTTCATGGTGTGAAATAATGATAGGAATTATCTAGAAGACAGGTTCTCAACCAAGGTGCACACGCACGCCGCAACAGGGGGTATGCTAAAAGCTGGCTGGCTGGCTGTGCACTTAGGCTGGCTGGCTGTGCACTAAGGCTGGCTGGCTGTGCACTAAAGCTGGCTGGCTGTGCACTAAGGCTGGCTGGCTGTGCACTAAGGCTGGCTGGCTGTGCACTAAGGCTGGCTGGCTGTGCACTAAGGCTGGCTGTGCACTAAGGCTGGCTGGCTGTGCACTAAGGCTGGCTGGCTGTGCACTAAGGCTGGCTGGCTGTGTTCAGAGGGTTATGACGTCACTCTGACCCCGGCACCACTAAACAGCGTGCGAGGGAGCAGTTCTAGAAGATCACGAAGATGACCGCAGCCACACTGGACCCCAGCGAAAGGATCCACTCCAGCTCTCCCAGGGAATGAGACTGATCTAGAATAATGATCACAGTGTAGAAGGTATTAATAATGAGAACGATCTAGAATACTGATCACAGTGTAGAAGGTATTAATAATGAGAACGATCTAGAATACTGATCACAGTGTAGAAGGTATTAATAATGAGAACGATCTAGAATAATGATCACAGTCGATCTAGAATACTGATCACAGTGTAAGGTATTAATAATGAGAACGATCTAGAATACTGATCACAGTGTAGAAGGTATTAATAATGAGAACGATCTAGAATACTGATCACAGTGTAGAAGGTATTAATAATGAGCACGATCTAGAATACTGATCACAGTGTAGAAGGTATTAATAATGAGAACGATCTAGAATAATGCTCACAGTGTAGAAGGTATTAATAATGAGAACGATCTAGAATAATGCTCACAGTGTAGAAGGTATTAATAATGAGAACGATCTAGAATACTGATCACAGTGTAGAAGGTATTAATAATGAGAACGATCTAGAATACTGATCACAGTGTAGAAGGTATTAATAATGAGAACGATCTAGAATACTGATCACAGTGTAGAAGGTATTAATAATGAGAACGATCTAGAATACTGATCACAGTGTAGAGGTATTAATAATGAGAACGATCTAGAATACTGATCACAGTGTAGAAGGTATTAATAATGAGAACGATCTAGAATACTGATCACAGTGTAGAAGGTATTAATAATGAGAACGATCTAGAATACTGATCACAGTGTAGAAGGTATTAATAATGAAAACGATCTAGAATATTGATCACAGTGTAGAAGGTATTAATAATGAGAACGATCTAGAATATTGATCACAGTGTAGAAGGTATTAATAATGAGAACGATCTAGAATACTGATCACAGTGTAGAAGGTATTAATAATGAAAACGGGGGGGCGGGGCCTGACTGCAGAGCTGAGAGGACGCTTGCCTCCATAGCTCCGGCTCAAGGGGACACATAAAGCGACGAAAAACACGTCAAATAACGAAAATTGGCAAACAAAGGCCACCCAGCAACAGGGGATATCGGGGAGCACACACTGATACTGCCCAAGCGACATTTCAAGCGACACGCACCCAACACCCTGATGCGGCCTACCAGCATGGTGAGTGCGGGAGAGACGGCCGCTCTCCTGCCGCCAAGAATGCCTGCAAGCACAATCAAGAACCCACGCCTCCCCCCCTATGGCCCGGCGGGGGTTATCCCGGGCCGCTGCCACAAGCATCCCTGGATAAGCAGCGCCCAAACGAGCCTCACGCAAAGCCAGCTGGCAAATCCCGTGGCCCACAAAATGGCAGACGACCGGAGCACCGCGGCCTTGCAGCACGCCGACACAGAAACGGAGGCTAGACTCGACTACATATTTGGCCTTTTTTGGGAGAAGCTAGAAGCGCTTATGGGGCCTCAGGAACTGAGGGAGCAGCCTGTCTGGGCACAACAGAACCTGACTCAGAGGTTCAGAAAGAGGGAAGTGGAAAACCCCCAAAACCCCACTCCAAACACAGGCAAGCGTTGGCACAGGGCCACCCTGAAAACCATAGCTCAACCTACAATGAAGCCTGCACTGAGGCCTGCACCGAGGCCTATACTGATGCCTGCACCGAGGCCTATACTGATGCCTGCACCGAGGCCTACACTGATGCCTGCACCGAGGCCTACACTGAGGCCTGCACCGAGGCCTACACTGAGGCCTGCACCGAGGCCTACACAGAGGCCTGCAACAACGCCTACATTGAGGCCCACACCAAGGAAAGCACGTAAGAGCCATCCCGAGAAGAAACAAAGAGGGGGAATGCAGAAAGCATCACGACTTCAAAAAAGCCGCCACGCAACCCACAAACGCTTAACTGAATGCCAATCCATGCGAAGACGTGGCAAGTGCAGCCCACACCATCCGGCGGTGTGGGAAACCCCGTCCACGAGCAGATCCCGAGCCACTGACCGTGTCACCGACAGCTCTCAGATGCGGGAGAACCTGGGTCTGGACTGTACTAGAGACTGTAGCTGGTGGGGTAGCTATGCGGGGACATTGTCATTTAACACACCACCACAAAGGCAGCATGGGTTAGTGGGCATAGGCTGACCACCCCACTTGAGAGCAGGATTGGGCTACTACTCCCTTTAGGTCCCAGGTCTCATACCGGGCAATGTAGTGTACCCTGAACCAACATTCACCCACCTTATACTTCTAAATATTGACTACAAGTCTGCTTAACAACCTAAGTTGTCTCTCTCTGAGATTTAATTTTTTCTTTTTGTCTTTTCTTCCATTTTCTCCACACAGTTGGCACCGGTGGCAACATAACCTGTGATACTTTAGCATGATCTATATAGCCACCTCTCCACCTACCATAGAGCCTAGAAAGATTTGCATACTCTGAGAACAGACATTACCGTTTAGCTCTAGGAAAGTTTCACTAAGCCTGTAACTAATCTTATCATTGCACCTTTTTACTCGTGTTTAACTTAGCATAATTCTCATGTCCTGTTTACCAACCTGATTCAGCTATCTAGGTGTACTTTAACTGCCGGGATCAACATGTCTTGCTTGTAGAAATCTTAATGTTCTTCATATATGAGTATATAAATTGTCTCTCCACTACCATTTTGAGAGCTGCAGTGTGAAATAGACCCCAGTGGTAACAAGCTTTTATGTCTCATCTATACCATGCCTTGTTTAAGCTTCACTAGCATCCAACATGTCTAGCTTTTAAAATTTTCAGCAATACTGCTCCTTTTATTGCCCCAACACGTTGCATGCTCTTGCTTTGTCTTCCGGTAATTGCATAGCTAGCCATGGTGAACCAGCTTGACGTATACCTAACTGTTTTCTTCTTTTACCTTAAAAAATGTATGCAAACCTAACTAGCCACACACCTGTTATAACTATGTTCATTGAGCCTGCTACAGCTGTTGTGGCGAGACAGGCACTGTTGTAATTTACCGCATACCAAAAATAAAGAATTATAAAAAAAAAAAAAAATAATGAAAACGATCTAGAATACTGATCACAGTGTAGAAGGTATTAATAATGAGAACGATCTAGAATAATGATCACAGTGTAGAAGGTATTAATAATGAGAACGATCTAGAATACTGATCACAGTGTAGAAGGTATTAATAATGAGAACGATCTAGAATACTGATCACAGTGTAGAAGGTATTAATAATGAGAACGATCTAGAATACTGATCACAGTGTAATACTGATCACAGTGTAGAAGGTATTAATAATGAGAACGATCTAGAATACTGATCACAGTGTAGGAGGTATTAATAATGAGAACGATCTAGAATACTGATCACAGTGTAGAAGGTATTAATAATGAAAACGATCTAGAATATTGATCACAGTGTAGAAGGTATTAATAATGAGAACGATCTAGAATAATGCTCTCAGTGTAGGAGGTATTAATAATGAGAATGATCTAGAATAATGCTCACAGTGTAGGAGGTATTAATGAGAACGATCTAGAATACTGATCACAGTGTAGAAGGTATTAATAATGAGAACGATCTAGAATAATGCTCACAGTGTAGGAGGTATTAATAATGAGAACGATCTAAAATAATGCTCACAGTGTAGGAGGTATTAATAATGAGAACGATCTAGAATACTGATCACAGTGTAGAAGGTATTAATAATGAAAACGATCTAGAATATTGATCACAGTGTAGAAGGTATTAATAATGAGAACGATCTAGAATAATGCTCACAGTACAGGAGTGTTAATGCCTTATCTCACGGACAAAACTTTTTCCAGAATTAAGCCTCATGTAGGAAGCTCCACATGGTAGCGTACATCAGTCATAATTCTGTGTCTGTGGTGATAAAACACATTATTCTAAGTAACTTCATTATGGAGCTAAACTAGGTAACTTTAAATGTCCTGTTGCAACTCTCCAAAGACTCGCCCCTTTTCCCGTCCAGAGACTGCCCCTTTTCCCGTCCACAGACTGCCCCTTTTCCCGTCCAGAGACTGCCCCTTTTCCCGTCCAGAGACTGCCCCTTTTCCCGTCCAGAGACTGCCCCTTTCCGGTCCATTCTCCTGTCTAGCGATGGCTCCTTTCCCAGAGACTCACTCCTGAGACTGCTCTATCCCATGTCCAATAATGTAATCCCAGTAATGTACCAATAGTAATTCTACCATAATCTGTGAGACAGCCACTATATTGTAGGAAACAAGTAGCAAGTAATCCAAGGAACCTGTCAGTGTCATGTGACATCTGTATTTTTCAGTAATTTCCATTTACTATTGAGTACAGATTCTAGATTTTATTTTGAGTCTGGCATATTGCAGATCTTGGTGGAACCAAACCTACTTTAATCTGGCAGCTGATTGTTGTTTGTGTGTACAGTATTTTACATAGCAATGTTCCTGTGGTGTCTTTTGGTGTTTGTGTAGGTGCTGTTGCTGTTTATTATCAGTGGACTGGTTATCCTGGCCTACTGTGCTGATGCATGCAGTGAGCGGACCTACCAGGAGGTGGTGCGAGGTGTGTGCGGACGCCATGCAGGGGTGCTCTGCGAGATTCTCATAGCTGTCTACACATTCGGCACCTGCATTGCTTTCTTCATCATTATAGGGGACCAGCTAGACAAGCGTGAGTTTCTCTGCTTTTGGCATATGTCCAACAGCCTTGTGCCTTTATAACTTTCTATGCACCACTCTGGGAGCATGGGATGTGTGGGTCTCTCTGGGAGCATGGGATGTGTGTGGGTCTCTCTGGGAGCATGGGATGTGTGTGGGTCTCTCCGGGAGCATGGGATGTGTGTGGGTCTCTCTGGGAGCATGGGATGTGTGTGGGTCTCTCTGGGAGCACGGGGTGTGTGTGGGTCTCTCTGGGAGCACGGGGTGTGTGTGGGCCTCTCTGGGAGCACGGGGTGTGTGTGGGCCTCTCTGGGAGCACGGGGTGTGTGTGGGTCTCTCTGGGAGCATGGAGTGTGTGTGGGTCTCTCTGGGAGCATGGAGTGTGTGTGGGTCTCTCTGGGAGCACGGTGTGTGGGTCTCTCTGGGAGCACGGTGTGTGGGTCTCTCTGGGAGCACGGGGTGTGTGTGGGTCTCTCTGGGAGCATGGGATGTGTGTGGTTCTCTCTGGGAGCACGGGATGTGTGTGGTTCTCTCTGGGAGTATGGGATGTGTGTGGGTCTCTCTGGGAGCATGGGATGTGTGGGTCTCTCTGGGAGCATGGGATGTGTGTGTGTGTGGGTCTCTCTGGGAGCATGGGATGTGTGTGGGTCTCTCTGGGAGCACGGGTGTGTGTGGGTCTCTGTGGGAGCATGGAATGTGTGTGGGCCTCTCTGGGAGCACGGGGTGTGTGTGGGTCTCTGGGAGCATGGGGTGTTTGTGGGTCTCTGGGAGCATGGGGTGTTTGTGGGTCTCTCAGGGAGCATGGGGTGTTTGTGGGTCTCTGGGAGCATGGAGTGTGTGTGGGTCTCTCTGGGAGCACGGTGTGTGTGGGTCTCTCTGGGAGCACGGGGTGTGTGGGTCTCTCTGGGAGCACGGGGTGTGTGGGCCTATCTGAATTGTGTTATGACAAAGTACACTAGGGATAGGCAACATTCTAGATTTCACTTACTACGCTGTTAGCCTCTCGTGCAGCCTTAGTGATGGTGAAATCTGACTTTTCAACCCTCCTGTAAATGATAATGTAAGAGTGTTTGGCCTTTATGGGTTACCTGCTCACTCTTGTATCTGTGAGTGCTGCACTCTGGATGTTATTGTGAATTGAATACCATTAGTAATGTTTCTGCACTAGACGTGTCTTACCTCCAATTGTTTTCTTGTCTCCTCACCTGCTTCTGTTGGTGTAGTTCTTAGTGCAATGATGCACAATGCAGTAGGGGGCAGTATTCCATGGTATGCTGACCGTAAGTTCACCATCACAGTGACAGGCCTTCTGTTTATCCTGCCACTCTCCCTCCCAAGAGAGATCAGTGTCCAGAAATATGCCAGGTAAGCACATACTGTACTTTTATAGTCTTGTTAATTGTTACTAAAAACAATCCCAGGACAGCATATTGGCATTATCATAAGGCTTACTTTAGCTCATCATTCCACGTGTGGATTCCTGCTCCCTCCTCTTACTATGGTGTCTGTCCATGTGTGGCTGCCCGCTCTCTCCTCTTATTGTGGTGTCTGTCCATGTGTGGCTGCCCGCTCCCTCCTCTTATTGTGGTGTCTGTCCACGTGTGGCTGCCCGCTCCCTCCGCTTGCTGTGTGTCTGTCCATGTGTGAATGCCTGCTTCCTGCTCTTACTGTGGTGTCTGTCCATGTGTGGATGCCCGCTTCCTCCTCTTACTGTGGTGTCTGTCCATGTGTGGATGCCCGCTCCCTGCTCTTACTGTGGTGTCTGTCCATGTGTGGATGCCCGCTCCCTCCTCTTACTGTGGTGTCTGTCCATGTGTGGATGCCCGCTCCCTCCTCTTACTGTGGTGTCTGTCCATGTGTGGCTGCCTGCTCCCTCCTCTTATTGTGGTGTCTGTCCACGTGTGGCTGCCCGCTCCCTCCGCTTGCTGTGTGTCTGTCCATGTGTGAATGCCCGCTCCCTGCTCTTACTGTGGTGTCTGTCCATCTGTGGATGCCCGCTCCCTCCTCTTACTGTGGTGTCTGTCCCTGTGTGGCTGCCCGCTCCCTCCTCTTACTGTGGTGTCTCTCCACGTGTGGCTGCCCGCTCCCTACTCTTACTGTGGTGTCTGTCCATCTGTGGCTGCCCGCTCCCTCCTCTTACTGTGGTGTCTGTCCATCTGTGGATGCCCGCTCCCTCCTCTAACTGTGGTGTCTGTCCATGTGTGGCTGCCCGCTCCCTCCGCTTACTGTGGTGTTTGTCCAAGTGAGGCTGCCCGCTCCCTCCGCTTGCTGTGTGTCTGTCCATGTGTGAATGCCCGCTCCCTGCTCTTACTGTTGTGTCTGTCCATGTGTGGATGCCCGCTCCCTCCTCTTACTTTGGTGTCTGTCCATCTGTGGATGCCCGCTCCCTCCTCTTACTGTGGGTCTGTCCATCTGTGGATGCCCGCTCCCTCCTCTTACTGTGGTGTCTGTCCATGTGTGGCTGCCTGCTCCCTCCTCTTATTGTGGTGTCTGTCCACGTGTGGCTGCCCGCTCCCTCCGCTTGCTGTGTGTCTGTCCATGTGTGAATGCCCGATCTTTGCTCTTACTGTGGTGTCTGTCCATGTGTGGATGCCCGCTCCCTCCTCTTACTGTGCTGTCTGTCCACGTGTGGCTGCCCACTCCCTCCTCTTACTGTGCCGTCTGTCCACATGTGGCTGCCCGCTCCCTCTTCTTACTGTGGTGTCTGTCCACGTGTGAATGCCCGCTCCCTCCTCTTACTGTGGTGTCTGTCCATGTGTGGCTGCCTGCTCCCTGCTCTTACTGTGGTGTCTGTCCACGTGTGGCTGCCCGCTCCCTCCGCTTGCTGTGGGTCTGCCCACGTGTGGCTGCCCGCTCCCTCCGCTTGCTGTGGGTCTGCCCGCTCCCTCTGCTTGCTGTGGGTCTGTCCACGTGTGGCTGCTCGCTCCCTCCGCTTGCTGTGGGTCTGTCCACATGTGGCTGCTTGCTCCCTCCGCTTGCTGTGGGTCTGTCCACGTGTGGCTGCCCGCTCCCTCCGCTTGCTGTGAGTCTGTCCACGTGTGGCTGCCTGCTCCCTTCTGTTGTGAATAGGAGGTATATCGGTCCAGTTGGGGTTATGTTTCTTCTCTCTCTTGCAGTTTTCTTAGTGTACTTGGCACATGTTATGTGACCGTCATTGTGATAGTCCGATGTATCTGGCCAAGCAGTGTGATTCCAACGCGTGATATCCCATCCAGGTAATCCACCCAGTCAGCATCATGTGCTTGTTTGTGTAGCTTTTAGTTGTGCCCTCTGTGTTCACTTATGGCAAAGAGAAAAACTGTAATAAATATGTGCCAGAAGAAAATATATATATTTATTGATTGTAATGTTATATACTAGAATTGCTGCAGTATAACTGTAGGATTCATTTATAAACAATCAGCAAATATGACACGAATCCCATACAATCCAAACCAATCCGGTAAATGGGTTCCATGGTATTTAATCAAGCATTGCCATCTGACTCTGATTATTAATTGAGGTTTATCAGAGTCGTGCATTATAAAGGACAAATTCTTCTTATTTACTGTAATTTTCCATTTCCCTAGCTATTAATCATGGCAGCATAAACACATGGGCTAGCTCACCCCCCTACAGCCGATGGGACAGAAAATAACGAGAGTCTTTAAAAAGAGGACCTGGTCATAAGATCTCCAGTCTGTAGCTAGCTCCACGGGAGACTTAAAAAAAATCTATCAATGGTTGGGTATTATATGATGCCGTGAAAATTAGCCAGGAAAAAAAAATTACGGTAAGTATGAATACATTTTCCATTTCCCTGGCTAATCATGGCAGCATATACTAATGGGAATACCCAAGCTTTTAAGTCGTAGACGTAGATGGCTGCAAAACAAGGCTATTCAAACATAAGTAAATACAGGTACTTGTAAATGACTCAAAGATTGGACTGAGTGAGGCATTGACATCCAGTTTGTAATGCCAAATAAATGTGTTCAATGAAGTCCAAATGCAGTCAGAAGGGGCATTCCACACCGAAGCTCTCGATGCTGAAACTGTTTGTGTTAGTGTAATAGACTGACACTGGTAGGCTTTGGAGATAGCCAATACCACCAACTGTCTTAATGTGGAGGCGGAGGCCGCTTACCCCTTCTGTGACCAAATAGCAACACAGAGAGTCTAGATGACTTTGAGCTGGTCTTCTCAATGTAGAGCTTTTACCACATCCAAATTATTATTATTATTGCCACTTATATAGCGCCAACAGATTCCATAGCGCTTTACAATATTATAAGAAGGGGGATTTAACTATAAATAGGACAATTACACGAAAACTTACCGGGACAATACGTTGAAGAGGACCCTGCTCAAACAAGCAGTGTCTCCTCATATGGGAAGGAAGGAGAGGGATAGAATGATGGTAACACCTCCTCCTTGTTCAGGATGGAACTTGGAGACCACTTTCGGCAGTAATAGCATGAAAAACAACCTTGTCCTGCTGGAAAATAGTGAACAGAGCTTCACAGGACAAATCCTGGAGTTTGCATATTCTGAAGAAAGCGCTGCCAGTAGATGAACCTTTTGAAACAATAATCACATAGAAGGCTCTTCCAGTGGTTCAAAAGGAGACCTAGTCATGGCATGTAAGACTAGTGAATTGCAGACATAAACACCTTTAGTGGAGGTCTTATCTTAATTACTGCCTTCATAAATCGTACCACCAAGGGTTCCAATGCCAAGTGGATTTTCTGTTAATGCGGAAAGTGCAGAGACATCAAGGTAATATAACTAAGATCCTCTACAAAGGACAAGGTTGGTGCATTTACCTCAACATTCTGTCCCTTGGACTAACTGACAAAAGCATGGCAAATTTTATAGTAAGTAGAAGAGGTCAAATACTTACAATATTGCAAAAGCATCTTAATGGCAGTATCCTATACACCCTTTTCTACTAGAGATTCCCACTCACCATCCATGCCATCAACCACAGTGCTTGTGGATTTGGGTAGCGAAAGGGAACTTGAATCAATAGGTCTGGGTGGGCTGGAAGTTCACTAGGAGGCTCCCGAATAATCCGTCTCACTGCAGGGAACCAAGGTCGCTGTGGTCAAAAGGGAAGGATTGCTACAATCTCTGCCTTCTCCTGAATCAAAACTGCTTAAATCAGTGGAATTGGAGGGAACATGCATGCCAGCAGGATATTCCAAGTCTGGGTGAGAGCATCCTTTACTTGGGTTTGGGGATTATAGTTCCCAGAAAATTATGCCAGTACTTGATTGTTCTAAGAAGTGGCCATTAAGCCTGTCTGAGATTTCACCCAGATCTGAGTCAACTCCAAGAACACTTCAGGACATAACTGCCATTTGACTTTGTCCATGGTCACTGGCTAAGGTAGTCCCCAATGGTATTATGGACTTCTGGAAGGTGGACTGCTGATAGGCCCTGGGTGTGTCTTTGTGCCCAAATCTTTATGGGTCTCAATTTTTTTCATTAATAGGCAAATGTGAGTTGTCTGTGTGAATCCTTATTTATTTGCTCTCCAGAAGATCCTTGAAATGAAGAAAAGCTCTGTAAATGGTTTGTAACTCTTAAGACATTGCATGGCAGCATTGTCTCCTCTTTGATCAACAACCCCTGGGTGACCTGGTCATGGCAATGTACTTCCATCCTTGTGAGCTCAAGTCGCTTGTCACAATTAGTACGTGTTCTGTCCAAGGGCTGAGATGGAGCTTTACTGTTGAAAGATCACCAGAGATTGATTCCAATTCATCCCTTCTTGTTAAACTGGATTAAGAATGATTTTTGTGAGAACCTGAGATGCTATTGGGTCTATCTGACCAGACCACTGTTGGATGCTAAAATGCCCAGCAGCTGCATATGTTTTCATGCAGATACTATTTGTAGAGGTAGAAACTTTTAAAGAAAACTTAAATCTGCAATCTTTCCTGAGATTGAGAAATGGTGTTAAAGTGATTCATGAAGGTCTGCTCTCTTAACCCCTCTATCCACATTTACTTCAAGTTCCTTTACCCAACTCTTCATGACTCTAGGTACTGCAGTAAGAACACCAGCTAGATGGCATCCTGGTCCAGCAGCTGTGTATATCATGGACAAGTCTGCTTCCAACTTGCAGTATATTGGTTCGCGTAGAGAAGCAGAGCTGTCTAAACGGTAACATGGTTTTCCAGGTGTAACGGATCACCTGGCACCCCGATTGGGTACCTCCGTTAAAGGATGCTCCTAGCGCTTCATGAGGACTCCAAGCACTGCAGCAGACACCACAACCACCGAATCGGAGAAGCATACGAATGCTCGAAGTGCACCTTCGGCTCCCTGTGATACATACTGCCGCTGGGGAGGAAGGACAGCACCTCCAGCTCCCTGTGATACATACTGCCGCTGGGGATCTGGGCCGACCGCCCAGCATCCCTGTAGGGCCGGTAGAGAGACCGCCGTCCCATCTCCACCTGCCATCTGTGGGTCTTCTTTGGACCAGTCTGTGAGGTCCCTCGACTTTTGTGAGTAAGGACCACCTGCTTCTGCACTTGGCAACTCCGGCTGCTGCTGGGGATCTGGGCCGGCTGCCCAGCATCCCGGTGGAGAGACCTCGGTCCCATCTCCACCTGCCTGTTGTGGTTCCTCACAGGACCAGTCTATGAGGACCCCTTACATCGGTTTCCTCCGGCCGCCTCAGGGGGAGACGGCTAACCTCCTCGGATGCAGCCTCTACTCGGCTGCTGTAACACTCCTTCCGCTGAGCATACTCTCTCTTTCGCCAGCCGGAATTCTCGGTCCAGCCTTGTGTTTCGCTCGGCCGTGACCTAGTTCCAGATCTCCCGGAGTATCTCCATGGATACATCATCCCCATACTGGGCCACTCGCTGCCTCACCTCGGCCAGCCAATCATCTTCAGAGCCAGAGCCTTCCATACCTGTCTGCTCCCAGTCGCTGGATACCTCTGCTCCCATGGACGCTGCACGAGTGCTAGGTTTGCCCTCAATTTGTAACTCCACGAACGGTGTCTCTGAGCTGCTTTACCTTGCACTAGGACACCATCCCACCGCTTTCCACCAATGTAACGGATCACCTGGCACCCCGACTGGGTACCTCCATTGAAGGATGCTCCTAGCGCTTCCTGAGGACTCCAAGCACTGCAGCAGACACCACAACCACCGAACCGGAGAAGCATACAAATGCTCTCAAGCATATGAATGCTGTAAACAGCTGAACAGGAAAAGCATACAATCAGCTTACACTCTTGGCAATCAGCATACAAACCAATTAGCCCAATAACGAGAAGACACTTCGTTTTGAGGGTTAAGCAGGAACACCCATTGTACAGCGCTACGGAATTTGTTGGCGCTATATAAATAATAAAATAATAATAATAACTGACTGTACTGGCACATACAGCCTCTTTTATTCACAATCCACAAACATAGTACTGCCCACAGGGTTTTGAAATACAACCAGTCAATCCGTACAATACACACAGACACTCCCACACAAAATCCTCCCCTCTGCCTGTGATATGATTACTGAACACAATGGGTAATCTAATTATCACAGACAGAGAAATACAGTTTCATAAAACACATCACAGGGACCCCAAAACATGCAATAACCCCATAAAAAGTATATCCTCGTGTTAAGACACTCACAGCTTAAATGGGTGAAACCGCCGTTTAGTTAATCTTCCCCCTTTCAGAGACACAGGCTCTATTGCAGTAGACCGCCAAACTCCCGAACGGAGTATAAGGGAATGCGGTAAACCCACAAACAAAGAATCAGCCGAACTCCTTCCACGGCTAAAACAGGCGAAATAATATTTCCAAGTAGCAATTAGCAGTAGAAAGAGGGAAGTGCTCATGCCATTGTACAGAACACTGGTGAGACCTCACTTGGAGTATTGTACACAGTACTGGAGACCGTATCTTCAGAAGGATATTGATACCTTAGAGAGGGTTCAGAGAAGGGCTACTAAACTGGTTCATGGATTGCGGGATAAAACTTACCAGGAAAGGTTAAAGGATCTTAACATGTATAGCTTGGAGGAAAGACGAGACAGGGGGGATATGATAGAAACATTTAAATATATAAAGGGAATCAACACAGTAAAGGAGGAGACTATATTTAAAAGAAGAAAAACTACCACAACAAGAGGACATAGTCTTAAATTAGAGGGACAAAGGTTTAAAAATAATATCAGAAAGTATTACTTTACTGAGAGGGTAGTGGATGCATGGAATAGCCTTCCAGCTGAAGTGGTAGAGGTTAACACAGTAAAGGAGTTTAAGCATGCGTGGGATAGACATAAGGCTATCCTAACTATAAGATAAGGCTAGGGACTAATGAAAGTATTTAGAAAATTGGGCAGACTAGATGGGCCGAACGGTTCTTATCTGCCGTCACATTCTATGTTTCTATGTTTCAATCCTCCCAAACACGAAACCAAGCTCCGTCTTGAGGGTAAAACAGGAATCTGCTTTATTGAGGGCTACCTGCCCGTTATTTATGCAGGTCTCCCACCTGGTGGACACTCCCCTAGGGGACCAGATGGAAGACTGGGACATATATTGTACAGTAGCCAATCACAGTGGCTCAGGTTTAAACACTCCCCTTTACACAAGTAAATCCCTCCTCTCTATCCTGGAGATAATTGGGAAGAAATCCAATTATCTCCAAGGATTATTATTATTATTATTATCATTTATATAGCGCCAACAGATTCCGTAGCGCTTTACAATATTTTGAGGGGGGGGATGTAACAATAAATAGGACAATTACAAGAAAACTTACAGGAACAATAGGATAGAGGCAAACCGCCATTTTACATGATACATTAAAAATGCATAAAAATACATAACTATAAAAATACCGAATACATTTGATTTGTGTAACATATCCCCAGATAGCCTCGATCTGAGCGCACATTACTACCGAATAGCATAGACCCAATGCACACAGTTCAATCGCCATGGAGTCAAAGTCTTTCACACTGTCCTTTCGGTATACGATTGACTCCATGGGATGGCTATCTGGGTTAAGTCCATTCGTATGATCCAAAGTCCCGAACGGACCGGCGTTCGTATGCCCGATGATAAGAAGGGCGGTCGGTAGTTTCAGCGGTGTTCGGTAGGAAAAAGTGTCCGTTTAGAGTTCCATAAGTTCTTCGTCAAACACCGCTGTTCATTTGCGTGGTTAAAATGGCCGCCGCCTCATGGTCGACATGTGAACGACGACCACCCTGCATACGGATAGAATGAAGAGGTGTCTGCGGTTAACCACAACGTTCTAATTGGGGCCAAGAGGTTAACCAGCAGCACACTTCTCTTCTGTGTGACCGTCCGTTTGGTAGTTTTGTTCAGCGTAACGTGCAATAAACGAACAGGGACGTACGGGCAGGTAATTCCACGAACTTAAATGAAACAGACGAACCAGCAATTAGTCTTTACACAGATGGATCTGTCACACCTCGGAACTGGGGGATCTGGGTGAACCACATATCCAAAATTCACCCAGATCCGTTCAGTACTTTGGAAGATACAGTTTAATGCAGATTCCGCAGAACATATAGAGGGTAAATGAAAAACAATTACTGTATAATGTGTCCCCTGTTGTATAGTTTAAAACTACTGAACGATGTCTCTGTGCACCAAATACCGGCGAGATGGCACCATGTAGAAAAGTCCAAACAGTGTCTGTGAGTTAAAATGGCCGCCACCCATTGTTCTCACCATGTGCTCCATCCATTGTTCTCACCATGTGCCTCTGATACAGGAAATGGTGGCCACCCAGTAACTCCACAGTATGTCCCCAGATGGTTCTTAAAGGGGCAGCAGCAGCACAACACAAATCCATTATGCCCAAATCTTGTATTTAAAGGGCCAAACCTCCCAGGGACCATAATCACAGGGCAAGAGGCTGGCAAGCAGTCCTCTCTAGGCACAAGTGGCGGGGCTGGTTCCGCCACAAGAATATTCACTGAACTCTAACTTTTAAGGTAAAATTGACAAACTGGAAACATTTTTTCTATTTTGGCCATTGTACGCCTTTTTAACTTTGTTCTTTGATGTCTCCCCAGCCCATCCACTTGGCTTGCCGTGTTCAATGCAGTCCCAACAATCTGTTTTGGGTTTCAGGTATTTTACTCTTGTACCATTCTTATTTTGAAACACTCACTATTACAGTGGTATTTTTCTTATGCCTTCCATCTCGTGACACGTGGCCTTTTTGTTGTCCTTGTCTATGCCAGCTAACAGTGTGTTTGTCCTTGGCAGTGCCATGTGAGCAGTGTACCTGTGTACGGCAGTATGCAGCAGCAGGACATTAAGAGATGGGGATATATAGTGACCGTTGCCATGTTCATTGCATTATGTGTTTACACTGGGACAGGTGAGAACCAGCCTGGGGAGACGACACATACTTTGATAATACAGTATAGTTCCTGTTCAGTACATGTGATTGAACTCACTATGAACTATTTATTCCGTCAATGACAGATCTCACAAAGCAAGTACTGGATTTTCCTTTCTGTTTTTTGTATCCCACACTGTTTTCTAGTCTATGATATGATTCCTCTATTCTTGCCTTGGTTAGTCCATCTTGCACACTGGCTATTTTCCTGTATTTGGTTGGTATCTCCTTACCTTGCTATTTAAGAGAATCCTTTCTCTTCACTCAGCCCCTGTCCCTCCAGTTTTGTCCATTGTGATTGTACTTTCCGAAGAGTCCATCCTCTGCTTTCTTCATCGATCATCGCACATTCTTGTACTTTCCCCCCCTTTTCATCCTCTGCTTTCTTTTCCATTCTCCTTTTTTGCTTTCTTTTCCATTCTCCTTTTTTGCTTTCTTTTCCATTCTCCTTTTTTGCTTTCTTTTCCATTCTCCTTTTTTTGCTTTCTTTTCCATTCTCCTTTTTTGCTTTCTGCTCTAGTCTGTCTTGCCTTCTTTACTTTTCAGTCACTATTTGCTGGTCCCTGCTTTCTTTAATCCCTTCCCTCAATGATCCAGTCTGCAAGTTCTGATCTGTTTTTCCTATTAATACTGTGCTTGGTCTCATGGCTGCTGAGTTATTCTCCCATTTTTCTTACTGTTGATGCTAGTGTTTTGCGGTTAGCCTCCTCTTTGTGCCCCACGTGGCATACTCCTCTGGATAGTTGGCTGATACCTCTCTATGTTTAGGAGTCTGTGGATTCCTGTTGTTTGGGTCAGATGTAGATCAGGATGTCCTCCTATCTTTCCCGTCTGATGATGTTGCAGTTGCAGTAGCACGGGCATTCATCATCCTGTGTGTCCTGACCTCATACCCCATACTCCATTACTGCGGCCGGTGAGTTCCTGTTCTATGGGTACTTGTATGTTCTGTGTTTGATAGGGCTGTAACATCCCAGCCATCCATACCCTAAAGCAGCGCAATGAATCACTATTGTTCCTACACACAAACGCATGTTTCGTTATCAAAGTAGTGCAAAATGTGAATTTTACTGCATAAAATAAGATAATAAATATTAACTCTGCAAAATCCATAATTCTTCAACTAGATAGTCAGATGGAAAATGCTTCAATCCACACAGATAAATGAATATAATTTTGCTATTGTGGCTGGGGCATGCAGGGGGAGCCACTGGATGTGTTTTCTACCTTTGCTGTTAACGTTTTCATAGGGGAGGAGGTCTGGCTATCATTTTGAACACTTTAAAGCAGAGACGGGGCTTGCACACACTGCCCCTAGGATAAAGGTATTTTTTAATTGTTACAATAAAAAAATAGTTGAGACCGCATACAATTCTATGCATACAGTTGGAACACAAAACTGCTGTGAATGCTGATGTATGTATACTGAGACTCTCTCCATACATACAAGGCAGAAAGGACTCCCATTGAGTGAGAATATAAAAGACAATTTCTTAAAAATTGCCAGACCTCCCTATTAAAAGTCCGCATTCAATCAGTTTTGTGTTCTGATTGTATGCATAGACACATTAGATAGCGAGGTCCCAAGTATTTTTTGTCCTATTTATTGTGTAAATAGGTTTGAGGTTTTGTCCTATCCAAAGGAGTGCTGCCCGTAGTGGTCTATTGTGGTCATTTTAGTTTTTATGTCACTTTAAGGGGAAAGCCTCTGTTATTTTATGCTATTCTCTTCTTCCCTCTCTCATTACCATCTGCGCTCCTAGTTTATTATTTTTAATTGCTGTGCATTCAATTAGAGCCCCCCAGGTGTTGCTGAACTACAACTCCCATGATTCTCTGGCTATCTGTGTAATTCAAAGAATCATGGGAGTTGTAGTTCAGCAACATCTGGGGGGGCCGGAGTTTGAGGACCCATGTATTAGAGTGGGTTTTGTTACACAGAAACTGACATTAAAATATCTTCCAATGTTATTATAGTAAATCGCTCACAGTCCTGCAGGGATGGCTAAAAAGTTTGGATAGATTTTCTGCATAATATATTCAAAGACTACGTTCTTTCTGTAACGAGTGTAGAAGAATAATGCTCAGCCTGCAGACGCAGGGAGGAAGTGACCACCATGAGGACACGCAACGCATGTTGTGCCTCGCAGGCATTTACTGTGCTTGGTCCCTCTATCTATTTGCACCTTATTCCAGTCTATAAAAAAAGGTTCAAATTACATGTTTCTTTTCCATTTATTTTTCTTTCTGTTTTAAGGTATAAAAATATCTTTCAAATTGTGAACAAATTAGCATTATAAAAAACCAACATAAACATTTTTTTATGCATAATCTTTATTTTATTCAAATGGTTCAAACTGATATATTCCAGTTAAATCTATATTTATATCTGTCCTGCCAGCTAACCTCCCCCATTCTGTGTCCTGCCGGCTAACCTCCCCGTACTGCGTCCTGCCGGCTAACCTCCCCGTACTGCGTCCTGCCGGCTAACCTCCCCATACTGCGTCCTGCCGGCTAACCTCCCCATACTGCGTCCTGCCGGCTAACCTCCCCGTACTGCGTCCTGCCGGCTAACCCACCCGTACTGCGTCCTGCCCGCTAACCTCCCCATACTGCGTCCTGCCGGCTAACCTCCCCGTACTGCGTCCTGCCGGCTAACCTCCCCGTACTGCGTCCTGCCGGCTAACCCACCCGTACTGCGTCCTACCCGCTAACCTCCCCGTACTGCGTCCTGCCGGCTAACCTCCCCGTACTGCGTCCTGCCTGCTAACCCACCCGTACTGCATCCTGCCGGCTAACCTCCCCATACTGCGTCCTGCCGGCTAACCTCCCCGTACTGTGCATAGCCGGCTAACCTCCATCATATGGTGTCCTGCTAGCTAATCTCCCCATCATGCGCTGCTGTCACAGTGGAGGTGTAATCCTGCTGTGTCAAGCTTCTCGTTTGCTTTCATCCTGCAGAGAGGTGTTTACATTGGTTGTTCATGGGAATGTTGTCATTGCACATAATCAGCATGGCTAAGAACACCACTTCTAAGCCATTAATGTCCACTCCGTAAATATATCACAAGATCTCATTGAAGTGATGGTTATTGGCAATTCCAAGATGGGACACATCCTAATGTCTCACTGTTGTTTTAATTTTGTGCAGGAGAGTGCCCTCTCTCCACACAGATCTTCCATGGCTGATTGTTCATTGTGATTTCGTTTCAGAGCCGTTCTGGAGGGTCTATGGCTTCGTGTCACTTCTCAGGAGTCTGGTGAAGATCCTGGCAGAGAAAGATGCCGTAGGATTTTGCAGACAGGGACCTGGTTTTTGCTCACTTTGTTGCTAGCTCTCTTCATCCCAGACATTGGAAGGGTCATCTCTCTGATTGGGGGACTCGCTGCGTGCTTTATATTTATATTTCCCGGTCAGTATGTTGGCTTTCACAGCTCAGAATATCTTGTCTCTTCATATACTATAGAAGTAGTTTACTAGATGGCTACATTCAGAATATGTGTACACAAAGCCCTGAGTGAAATCCTTTAGAATACAAGATATTGTGTATTGCTGTAGAATATTGGAACCCAGAATACATAATTCAGTGAGAATAAAGACCACGCTGGAGTGGGTGAAAATGGGGATTTACTAATAAAATAAACTTGTCTATCCTGTGCAGGTCTGTGCCTCATACACTTGAAGTGTTCAGAAATCCAGGAACAGAGGAGCAGGAGGTAAATTCTGTTAGTGTACACAGTGATTTTTACAAACACTGCCGCTGTAGGTAGTTTAATTGGCCGTCATGGCTTGTTTTTCCCTTCCTAATGCTTCTTGTACCTTAATAATCACACTCTACCCTTCCTTTATATTTTAATCTCTTTGTTCTGAATCTCACTATCTGTGAGCAGCCATTTTATTCTCCTGTGCCCCGGATGTCTCCACATTGCGTTTCTGTAAAATAGATTTTAGGGATTATCACTGTTTCTGATTGGTGTGACGTTTATGACTGGGAGAGCAACTGCTAAGATGTTTTATGGTTTCCATACTTGGAGTGCAGACTGTCTCTCAGTCCTTGTTGAAGAATAGATTGATAGACGGGAGAAATACTTATTTAAATAGTTTGTTTCCACAATCTCTACAATTGCTAGTAAATTGTATGTACCGTGACAGGGACACTTTAATAGCTGGATGATTGTTAGCCAGTGAGGATTAAGGAATATAACATGGCTATGCCGTGCCACTGTGGATGAAATCTCACAAACATTTTAACAATCAGCCTCCCTTTACTTAGAGCTGCTTCCCCCTAGCAGTCTAGAGGCTCTGTGCTAGCGCACTGTCTAGTATGTGTCCATGCGCTGCACACCATGAATGTGCGCTGTCCTGACAATTCCTACTAATAGCGCTCTGTCCTGATCTTGCAGATGGTGGGCATTGGTCAGTTACGGTGTTACCATGGTTACCATAGGAGCCTTCATCTTTGGACAGACCACCACTAAGGCCATCTTTGTGGACTTCATGGGATGACCATTGAGATGCCGACTGTTGGAGAAACTAAACTGCCAGTGAATACTTGAATATTACTGTTTATTTAACACATTCCTCCCCATGTCCTCTACAGACGCTTTGTCAGTTGTTGAATCAAAACTAAAAGGGAAAAGAACAGCTCTAGCAAAGCGCTAAAAACAATCATTAATTGTGTGGACAAAATGTTTGTAATCTAAGCTTTGTACTGATGTCAGTTGTTGTTTCTTTTCTATCAACCTCTGTGTTATTTCCTTTAGTAAATGGCCAATGTTCGAGCACATCAGAAATATAGAAATACCTCAGTTTGCTAGAGAAGCCTATGTGATGTCTGGTTTACCCTGGGGTGTTTTAAGTTTTACAAATTTTCAAAGACTCAGCTGAGTGTAAAAGAGGACTTGACAAGAAAAAACACCCTACCAGTATAGTATAATCTAGCACACTACCATTGGACACTATGGCAACAGAAAAACTCGTTAATATATTTACTCTGTTGCACACTGTCCAGATTTATTTACATTTATTTAAAAGATACCTGCTCCCAAACTAATGTTGCCAGACCTATATTACAATAATGACATACTTAAAGGAACGCTATAGGGTCAGGAACACAAACATGTATTCCTGTCCCTATAGTGTTAAAACCACCATCTAGCCCCCCTGGGCCCCTCATGCCTCCATAAATATAGCAAAATCTTACTGTATTCAAGCCTGAAGTTGTAACTTTGCATGCTGTTAGACTCAGAAAAACAAGCAGTCTGCTGACATCATCAGAAGTGGGGGCCTGATCCAATCACAATGCTTCCCCATAGGATTGGCTGAGACTGACAAGGAGGCAGATCAGGGGCAGAGCCAGCACGATTCAAACACAGCCCTGGCCAATCAGCATCTCCTCATAGAGATGAATTGAATCAATGAATCTCGATGAGGAAAGGTAATGATTCTACTCACCAGAACAAATTCAATAAGCTGTAGTTGTTCTGGTGACTATAGTGTCCCTTTAAGGTTTAAGGATATTATCAAACCCATTATTCATAGAGGAGAAAAATAAAATATAGATACAGAAAACATCAAAGTATCTTTGGGGAGAAAATAAGGAGTGTTAGCATCGCAGAGAAAGAATTGTTTACACATTGTGAAACATGCAGCATGATCAGTTACAGTTCATGATTTGTATGGGGAATATTACAATATTGCACTTTTTGTATGATTCCAATAATTGTTGTGTTAGTTTTAGTCTCCTTAAATTACCAAAAATCTAACTATTTTGTGCATTTAAATGTACATAGTGTAACGTTGTAAAATTTTATGTATCTTTTTATTTTTACTTGATATTAAGTGACATGACCAGTGTCTGCTTGCTCCCCGATAAAATCTACACCTAGCTATCATATTATAGCATTGCACCTATCAATTAGTCAGGAGGCCTCAAAGACTATTTATTCTGGTCGTTTGGATGTTAACAAACCATATAAAAATCAAGCTACTGATTTTATAACAATTGCAGGGCAGTTATTAACACAAACATGCCAAACCTACTCCCCAGGACAGGTGTTTATCATTTTTACTGGCTTCCATAGTTCTTTCTCACTGAAGGTCTCTTTAAATTGGATCAAAGACAACCACTTTTCTATCGTGTGATCATACTGTAGGCAGCCATCTTGAAATGATCTACCTCAGTATGACAGACCCACTTAAATGCTGCTATGACTCCCAGCATAGGGGGTAGGCCTGGTGCTATTGATTGCTCTTTAACCTTGTTTTTATTTGCTTTTTGTTTTTTAAATCTTCAAATTATGTGCAATATTACTTTTCACTAATAAAGGGAATTTAAACGCTAACCCTGCTTCATTTTTTGTCTCCACTTGAAAAAGCCATCATAGGTGAAACGCGTTGTGAATATTTTATTCTGTATTCGTAATAAAGGTATTCTGGATACTTTTAACATACCTTGATTGTGTAATTTTCCTTTTTTTATTTTTAATTCTATTTTACTTTTTGCTGCTTGGCATTACTCCAAAGAAATCCTAGGTGGGGATTATACCACTTACGCCTGAGTCATTGAGCAGTTCATCTGCTCAATCATATGTGAGTACCCAATTTATTACTTATACTCCTTAGATATTATTTTAAACAGCGAGCACTATCATCTGTCTCTCTTATGGTCTACATATCGATATGGTACTTACCACTCTACACATATCCTAGAAGCGGGGATTATACCACTGTAAGCCATCCAAACTAGAGCTGGTTCAAGCTCTACTGCACGTGAGTAGGACTACTTTAGACGCTGTTGTTATATTACTCATCCATCTATACTAGACTATACTGTCTTTTTCTTGCACATACGGAGCAAAAGACTAATACCTCTCTATGTATCCCACAAGCGGGGATTGTGCGCTGTATTCTATCCACACTGAAGCTAGTTTAGCTCTACTACACATGAGTAGGATTACCATAGACCCGTTCTTCCTGCTACTCACACTGTTTACCAGACATATTGCACTATTATCTTCTCCTCTCTTTACATATGGATCCTGGAAAGCTGCCTCCATTTGATCCAACCAGAGAAAATCCCTCTACATAGGCCATTTGCGTTCTATCAAGCTTTATTATAGACTCAATACTGCCGTCTCCCTTGTTCAAAGGTTTTGTCTCAAGATTTACCACTATATTTTGGACTTTGTTCATAAGTAGCTGCACTACAGTGAGCTTTGGCGCAACCTTCATTTTGCTTTGTCTTTTGTACTATCCTTGTCTATAGGGCTTAGAGGGAACCCTATATTTAGGTTTGCTGCCTCATACTCTCTCTTTCTATAGTATTGGTTATTTTTAGTGCTGTTTCCTTTGTATATTCCCATTCTGCTTTATTTTATACCTGGGAATTGGTATGTTTTTGTTTGATTTTTGCTGCTTAACATAGTCAGCGTAAATTATTTTCCTTGTAAAGCCAAAAGTCAAGGTTTCTATATAACAGATATAGAATAGTAGCAGAGTTGTAAGCACATCTGGAATGTAAACTTTCCAAACCACAGAACTGGGTGGCAGGAGGTAAAGAAAGACACATCCCATATAATACTGGGTTCTAAGAGGACATAGTGAGAGCTGCATAATGAAATTGGATGGAGGATACAGAAGAAGCTGTGTGAGTATCCGTAGCCTACAAAACTGAATGGCAGAAAGTTATAGACTAAGCAGGGGGAGAAAATGTCACCTTTTAATAGGTTGGTGTTAAATTATAGAGGAAGCAGCATGACAAAGTGTTGCTTGTCAACAGGACGGTGGAAGGTTATAGAGGAAACGTTGCCTATAAACTGGACGGTGGAAGGTTATAGAGGAAACGTTGCCTATAAACTGGACGGTGGAAGATTATAGAGGAAACGTAACCTATAAACTGGACGGTGGAAGGTTATAGAGGAAACGTTGCCTATAAACTGGGCGGTGGAAGGTTATAGAGGAAACGTTGCCTATAAACTGGGCGGTGGAAGGTTATAGAGGAAACGTTGCCCATAAACTGGACGGTGGAAAGTTATAGAGGAAACGTTGCCCATAAACTGATCGGTGGAAGGTTATAGAGGAAACGTTGCCTATAAACTGGACGGTGGAGAGTTATAGAGGAAACGTTGCCCATAAACTGATCGGTGGAAGGTTATAGAGGAAACGTTACCTATAAACTGGACGGTGGAAGGTTATAGAGGAAACGTTGCCTATAAACTGGACGGTGGAAAGTTACAGAGGAAACGTTGCCCATAAACTGATCGGTGGAAGGTTATAGAGGAAACGTTGCTTATAAACTGATCGGTGGAAGGTTATAGAGGAAACGTTGCCTATAAACTGGACGGTGGAAGGTTATAGAGGAAACGTTGCCTATAAACTGGATGGTGGAAGGTTATAGAGGAAACGTTGCCTATAAACTGGACGGTGGAAGGTTATAGAGGAAACGTTGCCTATAAACTGGACGGTGGAAAGTTATAGAGGAAACGTTGCCCATAAAGTGGACGGTGGAAGATTATAGAGGAAACGTTGCCTATAAACTGGACGGTGGAAGGTTATAGAGGAAACGTTGCCTATAAACTGGACGGTGGAAGATTATAGAGGAAACGTTGCCCATAAACTGGACGGTGGAAGGTTATAGAGGAAACGTTGCCTATAAACTGGACGGAAGATATCGAGTTAGCCAAGTGATGAATCGTTGCTTGTAAAACTGGATGGTGAAAGTATATAGAGAAAGACTGTGCAATTTTTTTATGTAAATATATAATGGGGGGACGACATTTTTAAAAGTTCCTACTTTATATAATTACAATTAAACCCCTTCCCTTACAATTAAACAAACCAACAGTCACTAAACGATTAAAGTGCCGTGAATTATTTCAGAACAGCAAAAATAGCAGTGCTGTTGTTGTGGACCAAACCAAGTGTTTGATTATTTGAATATCTGCCCCTGTCCAAATTGTTTAAAATGGATTGTAGCGGAGTAGTAGTATTATCCACGGTATCCCCGCTGGTAGACAGGATGAAGCAGGTAAAATGCAGGTAGCATAGTTACAATCCCTTTCTCCCAAGAACTAGACGACACATAGCTTAGAGGTCAACTGAGGGCTTTATTGAGAAGTGACCAAATTTATACTGTTCCCCATGCAAGGGGTTTCTGAACTGTTACAGCAGGGGTTTTAATCATGGGGACTGTGTGGGAAACTGACCATGCAAGATCATTTCCCAGCATTCCCTACCGTACAGGGACCTAGATGACGTCAGCAGGCACAGATAATTACATTACTAACAGGCACAGGAAAAAGTAAAATTTTACATTAAATTCACTAACTTTGGCAATTCACCACATATTTTACCGAATGACCCCTCATTAGATTGCAGGGATCGATCGGTTCAAAATACCAAAGTACCGCTCTGATCCCTGCAGAAACAACCGAAAAAAACAACTGGGTTTTAGCAAATGGTTTTATTTTCCCGGAGGAGAGAGTTTCCCGAAAGTCCAGCTGTGTTTGCCAATTTCGGTTCCAGGCACTCGACGACCAAACACCGCTGAACTCTAACAAAGCAAAGATGGCCGCCGCCACGTGTTCGGTACACGAACGGCGGCCACACACAGAACGCTCATTAACGGATGGATACAATGTTTCAGTTTTACTAACGAGCGACACACGACCTTCTGGGGTGGTCTCCCATTCAGTCTTTTGTTCGTTTCACAAACAGGGTTGGAATCCACTGTTTGTGAAACTTGAATCAGTGTGTTAGCGGCATTCGTGTGCTGTAACACACACATGCATAGGAACATTAGGTGAAATCTTTGCATACAGGTAAATTTAACAGGGGTTAAGTTTCTCACGGATAAAGACACAATGGAAGCAACAGTCAGGCATATATATATATATATATATATATATATATATATATATATATATATAATACTCTGTAAGTGGCTAGGTTTGCCACATGGATGCGTGCACGCTCTGAAGTAAATCACACCAGACAAGTTTCAGGTTAATGAAAAACTTCAGAATGTTTACTTAGGGGGGCGGGAAGCCCCTTATAAAGACAAGAATACATCATATGCAAAAATGTAGATAACAGAAAGAATACATCTTTAATTGGTTAGGTGTTAAGTGTTTCATCTAATGCACATCCTACAAGGCGTGATGTCACCATCTTCCCGGGATTTTACTCCGGATACAGGCGCCATCTTCTTACACAAGGTAGTTAGTCAATGGGAGGAGTTGCTCTAGCAGCCATTTTGAGTAAAAATTGAATACAGGTGTGCAAAGTAAATAGACATTTTACTAATGCTATTTTACGTCCATAACAGATCCCCCTTAAATTTACTATTTACTAACAACTACAAAATCTAAAAACCTAAATCTGTTCCTAATAGGCTGCCGCACATCTGTCTTACAGGTCTTGAACAGCAGTGGCTTGTCCACTACCTCTCCTGCTACAGACTTAGCCCGTAGAGGCAGCCGCTAGTATCCTTAAAATGAAGTAGTTGTCTGATTGTTGCGGAGGGACTGTAGAGGAGAGTGGGGCGAAAAAGGCTTGTCACAGCCCTCGTCATCTAATTCTTGGTGAAGGAAAGTTGGGGTGGTGCGGTCAACTGTCTGGTCAACTGTCTTCTGCAGGCACTTTTTTTATACAAGGTAGCACACAACAGACAAGGAGGGCAAGAATAATCATCATTATCAAGACAGCCACCCCTATCTGGGCTAGGACTCTCTGCCAACCATTCATCCATCCAAACCATCTTTACCACAGGTCAGTGACTCCTGAATTCCTTTTTAATTCTTCAGAGAGACTCTCCAGTTTCTCTATTGCTAGGGTCACTTTACCAGTAGGGCCTGTATTATCTGGGATGAAAGTACAACATGTCATGGTGTCCGGAAGTATTTTGCATACTAACACCTTTTTCTGCTAAGATCATGTCAAGGGCAATTCTATTCTGAAAGGTCATCTTGGAGTTGGCTTGTAATTGCTCTGCCAGCCCTTGAAGGGCATCTCTGGTGTAATTAACAAAGCGCTGTTGATTGTAATAGATATAATTAATCCAATTCAAATTCTTATTGGCTGTGATGATTGGGAGAATGGATTCATACTCTGCTGCAACTTCATATCTTGCTTTGAATTCATTTGGTACCCCCCTTGGCACCCTTATGGCAACAATGTATATGTGTGGGTCAAACCTGCCCTTTACCGGGGTGCTCCTCTTTATCCTGAAATAAGTACGGGGGATGTCAGAGGTACTTTGGTGGTTGTCAGATATTATGTGTATGTGCATAATAACTTTGGCAAGGGCACACTCCCCCCACCACAGGCCTTCCAGTCTAGATCTAAGTTGCATATCACCACACAGCCAATATATGTCACCCAGGGATCTAGCTTGTTTTACCAATAGGGCAACTGGAGGTGGTGTTCTGTATGTGGCACAATATCCAGGAGGGAAATTCCCCAGAAATTGACCTAACCCACCGTGTATAGTGTAGCAAGTGTAGTTTCCTGGATAAATAGTGACACCATCAAGTGGTTTGATACTCTTGGTAGTCATAGGATTTTCTCTCTTCCATGACTCGCATGCTGACTGTGACGAGAGCAATCTCGCCACATTGCATTGGAGAAGCCTGGTTGCTCGCCTGTTGCCTTTGGATTATGGCCCCATGTTAAAAGGCTTGATTTTCCCCTGCAAAGACAAGAAAACCGGGTCATTTGGTGCTTGCCCTGTTTGAGCAGTGATACCCCAGATAGCTATGCCATGGAGCCCATTCGTATAATGAAAGACTATGGGAAAGACTTTGGCTCCATGGCAATTGAACTGTATGTATGTGCTCTGAGTGCCATTCAGTATTAATGTGCGCTCAGACCTAAGCTATCTGGGCATATGTTGCATGTCTGTATTTTATGTCATAAATGTAACCTTGTGTATTTTATTGTATTTTACTGTCTTTTTGCTGCCATGTGTTCAATGGAGTTTTGCCTCTGTCTTTGGAGATAATTGGATTACTTCACAATTATCTCCAGGATAGAAGACTCTGTGGAACTGGTTTTGGGCAGAAAAGCCATGCTTCCTGTCACAAAGGACTACGATCTATCTTTTGAACCACTGGACCAATTTGTATGATTTTGACGTATGTTTGTATTTGGAGTATGCTGATTCTGAAAATGTAAGTTGTATGTGAATGTGATGCATACTTTTCAAGTTATGAATAAGGTGGAAAAAATGTATTTCTCTGCTTGTGCTAAATTACATTACCCATTGTGTAGGGTAATTGAATCACAAGCAGAGGGGAGGAATTTGTGTGGGAGTGTCTGAGTGTATTGTATGTGTTTATTGGTTGTGTTCCAAAACCCTCTGGGTGGTACTAATGTGTAAGAATGTGTACATAAGCACAATAAACCCATAGCTCTGACTGTTCACTGCTTGACCCTCAACACGGAGCTTTGTCTCGAGCTACCCGAGCGCCTTTGTCAAAGGTCGTCGTTACCTTTGACAAAGGCGCTCAGGTAGCGCCGAAACGTGCGTCAGGATTTATGCCTTATTTATTTTAAACCACAGCACTTTTTCTATGCACATTAGGGGTTAGAGAGAAATGATTGAGAAATTTATTTAGAGTGATGGGTAGTTATTACAGACGGACTCCTTCATTATATGGATAGCCTTAGCGTATAGTATTGTGGATCTCTAGTGGAATCCCTCTCACAGCATAGGCTATATTAGTGTCCTTAGTCTGGAATCCTGGGTAGCAGGAAGTCCGGTTTATTTCTTTTGCCTTCTACGCTCACCAGCTGTTGTTACTTTAGAGGATACTTTGTATCCACAATCAGCATTTAGGGCTAACATTTGGCAATTGTTACACTCTGTTATACAGGATAGCTACTACCTAGATCGCTATATAATTTTAGGGGAGACATAACTTATTGTTGTATACAAAGATTTTTTCTTGTTGTGATACTTTTTAGTATCACTTTATTTTCACCTCTCCTTCCTCACCTAGATTCTCTTATTTCTCTCTAGTGTGTGTTAGGTTTTTATTAAGTTTTATTTACTTTTTTGGGGGAATTTATACCCTATAATAAAGAGATTTTTTATTTTTATTTCTATATGTAATCGCAATACCCAGAGAACTCTTTTTGTGTTCCTGTGGCTTTCTTTGGCCAGGGATCATCCTCAGTAGTATTCGAGAAACCTGTTTCTACTGCCATGGTGTCTTCGAATGTAGGGTTGACTATGGCTACCATGTCTTTGAGAGTCTTAATGTGTGGTTTGAGGGGCTAATAGTCATGTGTGTGTAATCTACCCACTCAGGTGATTGATACATGTCCTGTAAATAAAAGGTTCCCTGTTTATTATATGAACCTCCACCTTTCCAATACAATCCCATTACAAATTCACCAGCATCTCCAGAACTAGGGTGTTCTATATTTAAGGTCAGTTTCATAGGAATCGCCCCCCCCCCCCTCCGTAAATTCCGTAAATTCTACGCAGTAGTGATTCCCCATTTCTGTCTAAGGCACTTTGAGGTTTGTAGCCCCAGGCTGGCCCGGTGTTCCAACCCGCCACCCTCCAGGAGCTACAGTCATGTCCCCAGTAGTCACAGATATGTATGGGTCCTTTATGTTAAGTATGTCTCTATATACTGTTGACAGCAATGACTGTGGGAATGTACAGCTGACAATATCGCAATAATCAAATGTAAACGTAGCCACATGTGTGTTAGATTAATTATACCAAAATGAGTAAACATGATTTTCTGTAGTAATGGCAACTTGTTGGGCCTCTAGTAGGCCTAGCAGCAAGAAAATGCACAGGAGACTCATAGCTTAGGACCGTCCACTTCCTCTGGAGCAGGAACTTTCTTGCAGTGAGAGGCGTGTGTCTAAGTATTCTTCCCAGCCAATTTAACTGAGGTAGTTGTGATTAAGAGGACTTGGAAGGGGCCATCGTATTACGGCTCAAGAGTGTATTTCCTCGTGACTCTCTTAACCAGAACCCAATCACCAGGAAGCAGTTGGTGGGTGCCTGTATTAGACTCTGGATCTGGAATGGAAGAAAACACTTGTGCATGGATTTTGGTCAAGGCTCGAAAGAGCAGTTATATAATCAACCAATATATCAGACTGTAGTTGGAGCTGCTGGGGAAAGTAGCAGCCAAGTCTAGGGGCTGAACCAAAAAAAATCTCATATGAGGACAGGCTAAACCTCCCTCTTGGTGTGTACCTTACACTAAACAGAGCTATGGGAAGACTCTCTGGCCAGGGCAGGTTAGTCTCTTGGGCCATCTTTAGCATTCTGGCTTTTAAGGTGCCATTGATGCGTTCTACTTTACCACTACTCTGTGGGTGATAGGTGTAGCAGAACCAAGCCTTGCCACTGGGCATTGGAGAAGACTGGTTGCCAGCCTCCTGCCATGTGACTATGGCCCCTGGGATGTATTGCCTGCTCTCCTGTACTGCTGAGGTTTGCTACCAACTAGGTGGATTTGGCTATGGAGCTTGTCTAGTGCCCTCTGTTGGTAGCAACAGCAATATGCACTACCTGAATAGCAAGACTGGTTCATTTGCATTTTCGGGTAGATTTGCATATTGCTAATTCTGCAGGCATGTGAGATATTTTCTGTTAATTATTGTCTCCCCCACCTCTTTAAAAATGTGCCATTGTGTTATAATAAGTCACTGTATGTTGCCTGCTATGATTTGACTTTTTGTAATGTTATTGAGTTTTTTTTTTTGTGAATATGATTTTTGTTTATTCATTTTGCATGTATTAAGGTTCGATGAGACGCGCAGGTCTCCACTGCATGGTATGACAAAAGATAACAGATCGGGCTTGCAGGCCCCCTTCATAGAAGGACTCGCAGGTCCCCAGTTTCTGGTGTTATGCGTGTCCGGGAATATAAGTTAAGTTACATTTTTATAAACTGGGTGAACAATATGCAAGGTAACCGTCCTTGAACTAGGTTAATTAGCCCTTGATTAGGTGTCAGTGTTTGTGCAGTGAGCTCCGTTCTCTGTGCCGTTTGTACACGTAGGAACTGTAGTGTATGCGTTGTGTCCCTTCTACTGTGCTCGAGTTCCGTCTATGTGTCGGCGTACCCCTGCTATCTTGTCTGGTCACACTGTGTATTAGGGGGTCATTCTACGTGGGAGTCTGGGAACGTAGGCCTCCCCTATGGTCTCTGTCGTCGGGCATAGAGCACTGTGTCTCTAGCCATGCGGTATTGTCCGTGTTGGGTTTGTGTTTTCCCTGCTGTTACTATCAGTATTTCCCGTATTTAACCAGGGATATGGTGATATTGTGGGCAGGAGGTACCCTTTTGTTGGGTGTGTGGTTGCGGCATCAGCCGTGTCATTGCCGGGCCTGTCCAGGATTATCACAGTTGTTCGTGTGATTTGGCTTTGGGGTGTCATCCCGGATTGGTCTGAAAGTGTGTACCAGTTTGTGTATGTTGTCTTTCCAGATTATGGTATCCCTTGTTGCTGTGGGTACGGTGGGGATGATCCAAGCAATGATAATGCTCGGGTTATTCAAGGGGACCCTGGTCACTTTCGGGACCCCATATCTGCACACAACTTCGATGAGCAGGCGTTTGGCTGTCATATTGGTGACTGGAAAGGCTTCTGTACATCCTGAGAACATGTTTACTATGACTAATGCATATTCACACCGGCCACTCTTTGGCATCTGGATATGGTCAATTTGGACCCTCTGAAAGGGATACTGAGGCTTGGCTAGATGCTTGGGGGGGAGCTTTTTCCATTCTCCCTGGGTTGCACTTGGCACAGATGGTACAGGATCTGCAGTAGCTCTTGGTCAGAGAGGTAATGCCTGGGGCTTCATAATATTTGTTGATCAGAGAATTCATAAGAGTCTTGGACAGGTGTGCTGCTTCATGGGTCCACTGGACCACTGCTGGGTACATGTTTTTAGGTAAACAGAACTTGAGGTTGTTGGTGTATAGTCCATCCTGGAGGGTTTCCCCTTTTTGTTTCCAGCTCTGTATTTTCTCAGGGTCAGCAGCTGCTTGCTGTTCTTTCATGAACTTGAAATCTTTAGGTAAAGTCTGCATAGTGAATATGGGAGTTTCTTCAGCGGACACTCTGTTATGCTACTTGGTTTATTTGGGTTGGAACTCAACTGTAGCTTGTAGAACTCCCTAATTACAATAGTAATGAAACTGAGAATCTTTAAAGTATCAATACTGTAGCTTTGAGAAAAGAGAGGATTGCTGGCAACTTGAGATTCAAACGAAGTTTTAATGATTGTTAAACTTAAATGAATTGTATTTAGGCAATAATCCAAAAAGAAGTTCAGGTTCAAATAATACAAAGTTCATTAATAAGTATTTCTTCAGAGAAGGATTAAGTAAGATTCTTTAAGTTCATGAGAATAATCTTCAATAGAAACATTAAGCAGGTAGCAGAGAGTATTTGCAAAGCAAGAACAGTTCATAGTTAATAATCATGATGGGAGTTGTCCTCAATATAATTAGCTTTAAATTCATGAGAATAATCTTCAATAGAAACATTAAGCAAGTAGTTGAGAGTATTTGCAAAGCAAGAACAGTTCATAGTTAATAAGCATGATGGGAGTTGTCCTCCATATAATTAGTAACTTGAAGCAGAGAAGAATTGAGCAAGCAGGAATTAGTTCATTGATTAGAGAGATTGCAGATAATAGTTGAAAGCTATACTTAAGGTTAATGTGAGTTGTCCTCGAAGAGTTCAGAGATATAGTCCACTTATAAAGTAGAAGGTTATCTGTTCTCCAGTAATCCTCTATGGCATTAAGCATATTTCTTCCCTCAGTTCAGAAGGCTAGGACGGCTTATCAGAGCTTGTGGAGCCGTCGAGTAACCGGAGCTGGCGTGCATACTTCGGAAGTAGGTCCCAGTATCACCAAGCGCCTTCTGCCTGGCGCGGTCTCTCTAAATACTGTCAGAGCCGCGTCAGAGGGGGGCGGGGCCAGCTCCGCATAGGGGAGAGCCAAACCCGGAAGAGATACCGCATGACACACTCTTCTGTCCACTTCCCTTGGTGCACGTGCAGCGTCCTTGGCGGTTTGGTCAGCTAGATAGTTGCAACATGCTTCCTCTGAGTTCAGTCTTCCATGAGCCTTTACCTTCAGTATGGATACTTCTTCAGGGAGGAGTGTAGCGGAGTAGTAGTATTATCCACGGTATCTCCGCTGGTAGACAGAATCAAGCAGGCACAAAGCAGGTAAAATCCAGGTAGCGTAGTTACAATCCCTTATTCCCAAGAACTAGACGACACATAGCTTGGAGGTCAACTGAGGTTTATTTTCAGGTCACGGTATTTATGGGATTCCCCATGCAAGGGGTTTCCCTACTGACATTTCAGGGGTCGTACAGTAGGGGAATACATGGGGAACTGACCAACACATACCTTTTTCCCATCATGCACTGCTGGACGAGAGGGATACTCCCACTGGAATAAACTGTTAATGGGATTATCCCTCCGTGCAGCAGAACTTACATTTTACATTAAAATACATAACTTTAACAATATTCACTAGTTTTACACGAATGGACGTTCGGTAGATAGCTGGAGGCTGAGAGCATCGTTCATGAGAATACCGCTCAGCTCCCAGTCTAACTAACCGAACGCCGTACGAAATACACATAATTTCTAACGTAGCTTTTAAAATACCGATTATCGTAAGGGGAATAAACTACCGAACAGCCGAGGTTCCCGAACGGCCTGGAAGTCCAGCGGTGTTCGCGCCATCGAGTAGCCGTTTTTAGTTCCAGGCACTCGACGACAAAACACCGCTGGGCTAACAAAAGAAACAAGATGGCCGACCGCCGCGTGGTTGGTATTCGAACGACGGCCACCTAGAAACACTCTTAATTACCGATTGCAACATTGTTGCAATTGGTTAATGGGTGCCACACGACCCCCTGTGTGTGGTCATGCGTTCGGTATGTTATTCGTTTCACGAACAGTGTTTAAACTCACTGTTCGTGAAACTTCATTATGAATGCTGGGGTTTTCATACCGCCAGCATACGAATGCTCTCATTCGCCTGAAATACAAATAGCATTGATTTTTATGGCTTAGCAAAATTACACACATCCTGATAGATTGATAGTCTCTGGTGGCCAGTTTTGCCACAAGGAGTAGGGCATCCATCAGTTCCTTGATGGCCGTGCTGTGCTTAACTGGTGTGCCAGTTGCTGTAAGAAATCCTCTTGTCTTCAAGATTAATCCGAAGTCATGTGCTACACCCAATGCACATCTTGAATCAGTGGAGATATTGGTGCGTGTGAAGAAATGCCCCTTTTATACTGTATATGCACTCCTTGTATTTGTTTGTTAATAGCAATGTTTCCCTATGGCATTCGGTAGGTAAAACTACCGAATGCAGGCCACCCTGTTACCCCTTTATACAGACTGAACCCCTTTGCTGGGTGGATTACGTTTGGCAGAAGTTTTGCACGAACAGCAGGTCTCACCGCCATTTCGGGACTTCCTCGTGTTCGCGGCCATTTTAGCTCCCGAACAGCGGTGTTTGGCATTGAATGTCTGGAACTGAAAACGGACACTCAAACAGGCGAACACCGCTGAAGCCTCCAGACCTTCGGTAAAACCCCTTCCAAACTACCGAACGACCGGGCGTTCGGTAGAAAGACTTACCAACAGATGGGGAATCAAGCGAACCAAGGATGGTAGCTGGATGGCCGGCAGTTCGGGAGGTTTTTCATGCGATCTAAGACCGACTGCAGGGCCAGAATTCATGGAACTGTTTTCAGCTACTTTGCCCGTGCAGTCGGTCAAAACTTCTAAGTCCTATATCTCCCGAACGGCTGAACCGAATGGACTGACTTTTTAATATGTTGGTCTCCCAGACAATAGCTATCTGGGGACACCTTGGGGTACATCCAAGCTTTGGGGAATTTCTGTTACGTTTTAATTGTGTTTAATGGTTATCTGAGGGGAGGAGATGTACAGTATGTATATTGTTAGGATTGGATGTATGGCTAATTATATGGGAGGCTCCCTTGCATGGGCTGAATTCCATAAAAAGAGCATGCCTGTCATTAAACCTTCAGTTCATCTTTGTACCCTTATTCTGACTACGTATGCTGTTTGGGAGTTCGTGTGTTTTACTGTGGGAATTATCCAGGAACACTATTGGATTTACAATTGGGAATTCGTCTACTACAACTACCGAACGGAGGGCTATATTCACTGGGCTCTGGCTGTTCGGGAGGAAACTACCAATTAAGGTTTAAATGTATTTGGTTTCCTTACAGTGTGCTTTCCTTCAGACATTCTGCATGCTATGATGAGGGCCTGTAGTTCAGCTTCTTGGGCAGACATGGATGAGGGGAGTGAAAATGCTTGGAGTATCTGGTCCACTGTAGTGACAGCAAATCCAGTGTGGTACCTGTGAAGAAACCCCCCTGTTCCCTATGATTATTTACTGTTTGCATTCCCTTTTTATCCTCTATTGCTGCCTATTGCATTCTGTAGATGGAACTACCGAACAAGGACCACCCTCTGGCTCATTAAACAAAGGTTTAGGTG